AGGAATGCCCCACTTTACACTCTCACAACTGCCTGCATTTCCCTAGCACACTCGCCACCCTTTATAATTTTATAGTCATTTGTGTGACTTTGGATGAATGGCGGTCTCCCGCAACATACAGGAACTCCTTGTTCAAATCACCAGCACATAGAAAGCCTCTGAAAACATGTGTTGAATGAATGAATGAATGATGTAAATAAATGAAGCAAATGAATGAGCTGAATAAATGAATGGATTGGTAGGGAAATGAGCGGAATGAATGAATGGATGGAGTTAGTGAATAAAGCAGTAGACAGCGGTGATGGCGGAGGTGAAGGAAAGAATCCACGGGATGCCTAGAGCAGCTGACGCTAAAAATTGGCAGAATGTGTCAAAAGGGCCAGGCAGTCAATATTTTAGGCTTTTTGGGCTCTGTGGTCTCTGGGTCACGGACCACACACAAACCATTAACGTGAAAGCAAAATAACAAAAAAAGAAAAAGAAAAAAACGTTTTAAAAATTATTTATCCCCTTGTGGTCCAGTGGTTTGGACTCGGCAGTTTCACTGCCAGGGCCCGGGTTCAGTCCCTTATCGGGGAACTAAGATCCCACAAGCCACGTGGCACAGCCAAAAAAAAAATGTCTTAGAGAAACCGGTGGCAGGTGGATTTGGCCCGAGGGCCGTAGTTTGCCAGCCGCTGGTCTAGGTGGGTCCTTGGAGTTCAAGGTTGCAAGTGTCCACATTCCCAGACAGTAGTCTGGAAACCAGACAGGGCAGGAAGACGCCAAGGAGCCCTGCAGGTTAGGACCCCCTCCACCCCAAAGGTTTCTGTTTTTGAGGGAAATCAGTGTAGTGAGCTGAGACTTGGACTCTGGTTAGAGCAGAGAGACAGGAAGTGGGTTAAAAGTGAGCAAATCCCACGAGCAGAGAGAGAACTCAGGGAGGAAAAGCCCGTGTGGCGGGCAGGCAATGGAGCTTCACCTTGATGATGAATTCCCTACAGGGTTACACACACACACACACACACACACACACACACGCGCGCGGCACCTTCGGGTAGCCTCTGACGGCGCAGTTGAGAGCTGCAGCATAACCAGCCACGACCACCCGGTCAGGTAGAGGCGTCAGGAACTTGGGAGGCGTTCGGAAGTCATGCTCCTTGTACTCAGGCATTTTGAAGGTGACACCTGGGGGAGGGGTGATACACCTGTAAGGGGACTGGCCTTCACTGTCCCTGGACCACCTCTCCTCCAGCACCAGGTGCCATCAACTCTGAGTGCAGGGAGGGAGACTATATCTAAAATAGATAACCAACAAGGACCTACTGTACAGCACAGGGAGCTCTACTCAATATTCTGTAATAACCTATATGGGAAAAGGATCTGAAAAAGAGCAAACATATGTATAACTGATTCACTTTGCTGTACATCTGAAACTAACACAACATTGTAAATCAGCTACACTCCAATTGGAAAAAAAAAAAAAAAAAAAACAGAGAGAGAGGGGGAACTGGACTGGCCCCCTCGGAACGGTGGCAGTAGCCATACCTGTCTTGAGGATGCAGGCCGTGTTCTTGGAGACGCCAGGCGAGTCACTGAGCCCACAGATGTTCTCGCTGTAAACTCGGAAATAGTATTCGTTGCCCATGATGAGGTCTGATACGGTGCAGGAGGTTTGCCGGTTGTGTTCGTAGACGTTGAACCACTCCTACGGCATGGGGGATGGGGAGGGGCCGGGAGAGTCAGGGACACGGACCCAAGCGGGCGCCTCACTCATAAAACCCACCATTCCCCAGCAGCTCTGTTCACAATGGCTGGAAGGTGGGAACAACCCAGGTGCCCATCAGTGGATGAATGGACAAGCAAAACATGGTCCATTCAAACCAGGACTGGTAGGGGAATTCCCTGGCAGTCCAGTGGTTAGGACCCCACGCTTCCACTGCAGGGGGCACAGGTTCGATCCCTGGTAGGGGAACTAAGATCCCGCAAGCCGCACTGCACAGGCAAAAACAAAAATCAAACAAGAAAACAGGGCCTAGGGGCTTCCCTGGTGGCGCAGTGGTTGAGAGTCCGCCTGCCGATGCAGGGGACACGGGTTCGTGGCCCGGTCCGGGAAGATCCCACATACCGCGGAGCGGCTGGGCCCGTGAGCCATGGCCGCTGAGCCTGCGCGTCCGGAGCCTGTGTTCCACGACGGGAGAGGCCGCAACGGTGAGAGGCCCGCGTACCGCAAAAAAACAAACAAGAAAAAAACAGGCCTAGTACTC